GAGAGAGAGAGAGAGAGGTGGGGGCCAGCTATGCCGGCCTTGGCCCCATTCCAGCAAACCTGGGAGAATGTATGTGGCATTAAGCTGATGCAGCCTTGCACAGCCCTAGGGTCAGACAGACCTGGTTTGAACCCTGACTCTGCCTTTGTCTGTGTGAGCATGGGCACGTGCCTTAACCCTTGAGCCCACTGTCTGCCGAAGTGCCAGTCCCAGTGTTGCAGAGCTGCGGGAGCATGTGCCCAGCCCCCTGAAGGTCTCCTGTTCAGGGTCCTCTCTGCCACCTCTGGCTGTGCAGGGGTTGAGCTTCTGGTGGGGGAGGCTCTGGGCTGCCCCAGCTCCGCCTCTCTCCCTGACCTTCATATTCCTTACGAGGGATAGATGAAGGTCCTGGGGTGGACAACCTTGACCGGCTGGACAAAGGCCTCAGAGCTCACCAGCCTCAAGTCCTTCAGCCATGAAGTGGGGACCAGTGGTGTTGGGAAGGTCTAGTGAAGTGGATGTCGAGGCTTGGCTCAGGGAATGGGCAGTGCTTGGGTCTTTCTCTATGACAGGATGGGGCTAGATTCTAGAAATTTACCAGTTGAGAGGCAGATAAGGAATATTCAAGAGAGGCTTTGAGAGGAATGAGCAGGGAGGTGTCTGGGTTATGTCCGGGCCTGGGCAGGGGTGGGTGAGAGAAGGGTCACATCCAGGCTCCTCCAACCAAGGAGCAGAGTTCCTCCACTCAGTCCAGGAGGAGGACTTCCTGGAGTGAAGGTCTAATGGAGGAGGCAGGAGTCGGGGAGAGGAGCTGACAGCAGGAGGAGCTGTCACCCTACCCCACCCCCCACACACCTGTCGGCCCAGCTGTGCTCAGCAGCGGTTAGAAGACTCAGTCAGCCCTGCTGAGCATGACCTCACCACCAAGTGTTAAATTAAGCCCTTAAGTCAAGTTGGGGTGACTCGGGACAGGGGAGGAAGGAAATGGGCCCAATGGCCCCCTGAACTTTTGTTAAGGAAGATGGTGAGCTTGAATTTTAGCTGTGGGACTGTGTATTTCCTGAATGCCTACTGTGTGCTGAGCCACAGACTGAGAATTTTACAGATGATTCCTTCTCAGTCTTTACAATAGCCCTGGAGATATTTTCTGCCGCATTTTGCAGAGGAAGAAACCAAAGCTCCTAGAAGCAGAGCATGTTCCCAGGTCACACAGTGAGCCTGAGAGGAGC